TTCCGCGCGAAACACGCGTAACACGCGGGGTGAGTCACGATTATTGCGGAAATATTTTCGCGCCGCGTGCGCGCAAAGGGTAGATTTTTTCCCCCGTCGAGGTTCGTCCATCTTTTTAAAGGGATCGTGGGGGAGGGTGCAGGGAATAGCTTTGTCTCGACACCGGTAGAAATTTAATTTGCGCGCGAGCATGTTCTATCCCTTTCCCCCTCCCCCCTTACTCCCTCGTTTCCCTTTTGTTTTCCATGAAATTCGTAGCGTTCGATGTTTTTTTTTTTTTTATTTTGTCGAAAGCGAAAATTTGTTGTAGATTTTTTTTTTTGCTTTTGTTTTTGTTTTTATCGTTACAAGGGGCTCTTCCGTTTTCGGGGAATTGCAATTTGGGGAAAGCGAGGAGATTCAATCAAAAGGGGAATGTTTTTTTTTTTTGCCTCGTGGAGATAAGTTAGATTAATTTTGTGGAGAAGTCGAAAGAAAAAGGCGTGGATTTATATTTTCGATCACTCACCGATCTTAATTGTACGCAATGCACCGCAACTGCGAGGAACGATTATGAATAAATTCAGGACGACGACGACAGATGCGAACAGCCTCACGTCCATTTTAAGAGCCATAGCGTAACCTGAAAAAAAAAAAGAAATGTATCTTCTTAGAAAACGTCGTGGTTCGGGATATCGATGCGCTTGTATGATATAATTTCTTCCTAAACTCAACATCGTAATTCTTGCCCTCCAATGAAAATTCCAATGAAATAGCTTTCTCCAGTTAGCTCAAGAATTTAAACTTTACTTCTCTCGAGATACTTTCCTCGTCTCCTCCACTTTTTTCCCTCCTATTATCCAAAGTTCATCAGCGAATTACTTCCGGCTCCATCACGTCTATTTCTAATTCACCCCATTATATCGAATGAATCGCGGAATATCTCGCGATTGGTAATCGTAAATCGTGAAGACGAGCAACCTGAAAACGCGACAGAGATGCGCCGTGGCGAAACAACGACTACTCGGAACCGGGGTCGAGTTGAATCGCACGATATGGCGTTCAGAAGAACGTTTCACAATGAAGAATGTTTCTAATAGTTTTAATACCTATATATTGTTTAACGACGCGATCGCGTGACAAGTTTTCTCGTGGGCCGACTCTCTTAAAAATAACCGGTTGCATCAGTACTCTCTCGGTTTGATCCGATCGTTCACCGAGCTTTGTGCTACGTGTTCGCAGCCGGAAATACGTTCCGTCCGAATGGATTCGAGTGGAACAGAGGCGATTCATATTTCGTAATGGCAGTCGACGGGAAACTGGTTTAAATTAAGTTTTAACGCGATTTTTAATCAATTTTGAATTTCGCGATCAAGGAATTGGCGAGAGAAGTGGAAGTGGATTCAGCTCGGAAATGGCAGTGTTTTTCGAACGAAAGTAATCGAATGAAATTAAAATTGGAATATAGATTTTTGATTCTAAGATTTAAAATTTATCCAAAAATTTTATTTGAATTCTCTGTCGTGTTAAAATTGTATTTGCGATCGGGAAATTGTACCGTGCATATTCGGTCAGAAATGAATTTTAACAAAAGTTCACTTTCAAATAATTCTCCTATTTTTATTCGTGTCTAATGATCCGAGATTGGATTTTTCTTTAAAGGAACGATTCGAAATTGGATCGCATACTTTAATGTTTAATATCGGCGAGTACAAAATATCGATATCGATCAAAAAAGAATTTAAGAATTGATAAATTTATATTCGAGATCGTAAAAGAAGAAGAAGAGTTATCGTTAAAGTCATGAATTTTTCTGAAATTTTAATAGACGTTTTAATAGATTGCAAGTAGTTTTCAACAAGTTTTCTCATACGTCGAAAGTTCACTTAACACATTTATCCCACGTTTCAAATGGAATCGAAGATTTTACGTGCTCTTATTTTTGTCCATAACACGAGTAATAAAGTGAAAAGCAATTGATAGTAATCTTTTAAGTTTCGCTCGACGACTGATCTTTATATCCTCGCTTTTACAACGATAATAGATGACAAATAATTCGACGGTAAACACAAGATTGGAATCAATAAAGTGAAAATCACTTTTGAACTGTCTTGTTGACACACGTATAAAATTCATTTATAAAATAAATAAAATAATAGATCTATCACGTTTTAACCCATCGAAATATCCATTTTTAAAAATTCATCATAATCAAAAAAACAGAAATCGAACGAAACGATTAAATTAAATGTTGATAGAAAGAGGAAATAAAAGATCGGAAAGAATTCCAACGGATGTTATAATTTATAATAAAGAACGAAAATTAATCGCGCGTATACGATTTTTATTCATTATATATGTTTTTGAAAATTTTAATTTTCCGTTTTATTTCCAAATTTCATAAAACTGTTATATTCTGTTCTTGACAAAATGTTTCACGACACGTGAAATAATAAAAGGACGAATAAATTTTAAGTTGATAATCGACGAATTTCAAAAAGTTTATTTTACTGGAAAATGTTGGCTATTTTCCATATCGACGAATTGATTCGAGTTTAGAGAGAAAAAAAAATCAAGACGAAGAAAGACTTATAAACGTTCTCGATTTTTATTAGAAACATTCTTCGTCGAAAAATCTGTATCAACGTTCGGTTAAAATCGATGTTTCACTGTAATGATCCGATTTAAAAAAATTCATTCAATTGACACTTTTATTTCCCCCTCGAATATTTTTCCTGTATCGTTGCAACGCCACCGATTATATTTAAGTATTAAGTCGATACATTCTCTTCATCTTTATCGCAATTATCATCACTGATATTCCTTAATAGTTGTTCTCAACGATGAAAGTTCTCGTTCGTCGAAGCATGCGAATTGGGCTGGTATTCGTAGATAAACGAGAGGGAAGCCGAATCACTGATTCTGTGAAATTTTGGGGGTGGATATGTACGGATTGTTGGATTATATAAATGTAGTACTGGAAGACGAGAGATTGGAGAATCGAATTATCTGATCGAAGTATATAGTTCTCCAAGTATAATTGAACTAATATTATTGTTTTAATTAATAGTGAAATTTCACGAAATATTAATTCTCTTTGCTGATGATGATATATATATATATATTTACAAATTCTACATCGCTTAAAATTATCGTTTAAAATTTATGACATATGTGTCTGTTATTCTTAATGTTAATTCATTATTATTATTAGTTAGTGAATTTAAAAGTGCCAAAGATAAGATTGTAATTAATGCAGCGAATAAAATTGGATGAAAGTTTTAGGATTAAGCAATAAATTCTAAAAGAATTTCACAATAAATGTATATTGCACAATATATTGTTGGATTATTTTGCTCTCTCGTTTCTATCAAACATTTTTTACGATACTTTGAGATATGATTGTTAAATAAGAAAACAAGTTTTCAACGATTCCTTCCTTCTTCTGAAACAGCTCTTTTTATCTAATTAATTATTATATTTTTTAACGGTAATTCAGAAAGAAACTGAAATTATATATACGCAATTATTTCAATTCTTTCTTTTCAATTTCCCTCGTATCATTCGTACGTACATTTTTCAAGTTGTGAGATAATAATTCGTATATCGAACGGACAAGCGTGAATTCTTTTTCACGAGAAATAAATTAATGTTATTCATATTCAACCGTCTAACGATCGTATAATCATAATTCCACGGTTTCGAATAATTATTCGCGAAATTTCTCAGCGCCCTTTGTCGTCGTTCCTCGAATTTTATATCAAATGCGATTTGGACGATGGAAAATTCGTATCCTCGTAAAATTAACATTCGTTTCCCTATTTTCTTATTTCTTTCATTACAAAAAGCGCCATTGCCGATGTGTCTTGTGATAAAAAAAAAAAAAAAAAAGAAAAGAAAACTGGAATCGAGCGTTACACCTCGGAAAATGAAAATGAATTGAACCGTATCAAGAAATAGATTTGATGGTTCCCGGTTATTTCGTTGATTTCATCGTTCCATCTCTCTTAATTGCTCGTTTCCTTTTATCTCGAATTTTAGCTGAATGAAATTGAAGTTTTTTTCGGAGCATTTATACGGAAAAACTTCTCTCGTTTCTTTCTCCAATTACCAGCCCTCGTTCCGAAACTTGAAATTGGCAGTCGACCATTGTGTGTACGTTGTGTGTACTTCTCACGCATTCTTCGTATTTCGACGTATTCGAGAGATCGAAGTTAATTGCAGTGTTACTCGTAGAAATGTTTGTTCTTCGTTAAAAATCGAAATTCTCGCCTGATAACCTCTTGCTTTTCTTCTCTGTGATTATGGCTTACCGTAGAAAGTGTGTATTGTCAATTTTCTTTCTTTTTTTTTTTTTTTTTTTTTTTTTTTTTTTTTGAGAAAAATCGATGTAAGAACGTGTTATCATTGTACGAATATATTTTTTCGAAAAATTGAATTTCTTGTAATAGTTTTGATCGTGTAAATGCAATTTGATGTAAAACGATGCAAAACAACGTATTTTGCGAATGCAGCAAAAAAAAAGAAAAAAAAGAAAATGGAGAAAAGTTTCACAGGAGTTGTAACGACTTAAAAATTTCCGATCGAAACTTTTGATAAATTGTTCGTTTTAATAGTTCAAAGATACGATTATACATGGCGACACTTCTCCGATGTACAATTTCCAGGTAATATCTTTTTTGTATTTGCCCAGAAAAAAAAACTTTTTTTAAATAACAACTACATTGAATAATAAATTCGATAAATTGAATTTAATATATTTTGAGATTAACCAGTTGAATAAAATTTGTAGCTATAAATATTAAATGGATGGTCGCAAAAAAATGTAGTTGTCATTTCGTGAAAATAAATCTCGAACATTGTCACGAACATTGGAGAACAAACCGACGTGCTAATATAATGGAGATAATACCGGTATTGCAGACATTGTGGATAAGTAGAAGACGATAAAATATATGAATTGGGGTGGAAGAGAGTGTATTATTATCGTGGCACAAGTCTCGTGAAAATTATTGTATTTCACAAGCTTGCTGCGCTTGCATTTTACCAAGTTAAATAAATTAGTTACAAAGATAAAGATATATGTATATATATATATGAATGAATTTCGCTTGTGAACAAAATTCGTAAGAACGGTTCGGCCATGTTCGTTTCCTAGAGCACGATGCCATAGCGAACGTTGTTGCGACTGATCAAAGAACTATTTTCACTCGCTCAGTTCTTTTCCCTGTATTTTACTTGTTTACGAATGACGCGATACGATGGACGCGTGAAAATTGACGTGTTCATCGTTCTCTTTGTTCTCTGCACGAATTCTTTATCTTTGGAAAAGAAGAATATGATCCTTCCAAGCATCGTTTGATCATTCATCAAAATCAGCAATTTCACGATTGAATAATACGTAATTGAAAATCGGCGTTAAATTTTTTAATCCAATCTCTGGATCTCGCTCTTTAAACGAGCAGCGAATATGCGCGCAATAGTAGATTTTTCCAATCGACGGATTAAAATCTCTCACGAGTCATTAGTATAATATCGGTTAACAGAATGGATTTATCTGTAATTAATAATCATTGAATCCGTGGGCAAAATGGAGGATAAGCGGGCCACTTCTCCGCGAATCGAAGAAAAATAAAATTTGCCGGCCATTTGAGGTACGTATCGAGGCGAGATTTACATCGGTGAGATTTAATCGATGGAATCGTTATCGAAATATTTCCGGTTCGAAGGAGCGGATACAACGATTCACAGTCGGGATCCGCAGATATTTTTATCGTTCGCGTGAAAATTCGACGCAAAATGCAACTTTCCAACACGAACACGAACACGAGCAAACGCAACATGGCCATTTTTCGTTTCACAGCCAGTTCCTAAAAACCAACCAGTCAAACCTCTAACGCGCGCCATTTTACACGGGGCGTAAACGGCTGTGAAATTTCTACCGTTTTCAATCCTTTGACACCACCATTCGCAATATTTTCCTCGTGGCGTGCTCCGAGTCAGGTCTAAAGGGTGTTAACTGACTCGTTCGCTCGCACCTTCCACCTATTTTCTCCCCCTCTCCTCTCCTCCCCTCACCGGATCGACGTTAAATCTTACGCGTCGAAAAATCCAAGTCGCCTTGTATTTTCCACGAATTAACGTGTTGCTAATTTAACGCGCCGAAATTGCGATTTTTTACATAGATTCGCATTCGAAAATGTTTGTGGAATAAGATTTAAGTCGGCGTTGACGAGATTTATTCATTATTATATATGGTTTATGCAGCTGTTCCTCTTCAATTACTTTTTAATCCAGCCCTCCATCGCCATAATTAAATATTTTTTACCCGGTTTCTTGTTTCAGGCGAAGAGAAAGTTTTCATCGAATTCGAGATCGAGGAATTAATTACACGAGTCGCGTTATTTGTCCAGAGCGGATTCTCGCGAATAAAGAAATGCTCGATGATTTTATTTTACAATACGAAGAACAGTGAGAAGACGGAAACTTTGCGTACACGGAACGTTTCGTTAATTTACTTTTCACCGACGAGAAATCACCGCTCGAAAGGAAATTACGAAAAATAAGGGAGGAAAAACGGCGAAACAAGAAAATATCCGAGCCATGGGAACACGCTGGTTAAAAACAGGTGGCTGATGCGCGCACTACCATAAAGTCGACTCCTCTTTTTTTCGTAGCGAGCGCAACGCTCGCTCGTGTTTCCAATCCGGCGTGAGATACTCGGGTTGGATTCGAAGTTCGATCGGGTCAAAAATTGGGTAAAAGGGGCGGTCATTGACTCGAGCCTCGATTCGATACCCCCTTCGTAGCGATCGAATCTAGGGGTCTAGGTTCATCGAGCAGCCTTCCCTCGATTTTCAAATATGCACGTCCCTTTCGTTGCTGTGAATATATCAAGCCTCCTCGTGGAAAAAACACGGTTCGTGGAGCTCGTAGGGAACGTAGACTCGGGTCGAGTGGAAGTCGAAAGGGCGAAGATTGCGAGGGGAGATGCGAGGTTCAGCAAGAATTCAGGTTCAGGAGGCTTCAGTTTCTTATGGTTAATCGCGGGATATGGGTGATGAATTGTGGATGAAATTGGAAATGTTAGCGACGTCAGTGAGCTCGAAAACGATGGGAGGAATGGAGGAGATTAGAAATTAGCCGATGCACAACGCACAACTAGTTTTTTTAATAATGGAGATAAAGTTGAAAATAATTGGAACGAAGATTTAGAATTTTCGCATAGGGTCTTCGCTTGAGAGAAGGAAATTTTCCGGATGAAATTTTTTTTATTGTTCGTTTGTTCGAGCTGAACGAAATTTTCCGCACAACGTGAAGTAAACTGTGATTGTAAATTCAAAGAATTGGAAAGCAAATTATTTTTTTTTTTTCTTTTTGAAGATCTATGACTTGTCAAGAAAAAAAATCCTGGATTCTTTAAAAAGTTACTTGCGATTTTCTATCATCGGTAGTTAATTTTTCACCGCAAATACGACAAATTCTTCCATCAATTCGATTCATCTTTTTCTCCCTCGTTCCTTGATCAACGGATACATTATACCTTCAAGCCCTTTCGTCGATAATTTACATTTATCTTCCCCCTAACTAATCCACCCGTTTTTTTACATCGATAATCTATAAATTTATCGATAATAGTAAGTCTAGATGCGCCACTCACGGATCGAATTAAAGCTTAATTACGGCTGAACTCGGCGGCTGAACAATTGGCGAGAACGATCAAAGTGGAATCACAGATCTATTAAGAAATAAAAGGCAAAATGTCGATGCTGTTAAGAACCAAAATGCACCGAGCGAAAATTTCCCAGCTATTGATCGACGTCCACACGATTTTGGATGATTTCTATGGAAAACCACGATCACGACGTCGCTTCGACGTCGTTTCGATTTCATAACACTTTTTTCTTCCCGAACAACAACGTTTGACAACAAAGTTACAAACGTTCGAGACCTCGAAAATATTTTTCAGTTATAAACACGAAGGAATTTTCGTCTCTACCGTCTTCTAGCCGCACTATCAACACAGGAATCTCGTCTTTTAAAACTTTTCCCCTCCCCGCGAAGCGATGATTCTTTCGAAATTACACCGATGCGCGCAGATTCTCTCCATGATAAATCTCCAACGCGACAATGATCCCGTTCCAATACGAAATTTCCGGACGTGGAAACCGTCTGCCATATTCACGGCTGCCATGTTGGACACCAGCGTTTGATACGCCGTTGAAATTGTTAAACCGATAAGAAACGCGTGTTTACACTGAACACACACCCGAGAATCCCGATTCTCCGCGAAAACGCGCCACGATTCAGCAGCAATCGCGTCCATCCGAGACCGAGGTGGAAGATCGGTGAGAGCACCACTTACCTAATTACTTGCAGCGATTCGCGCAACGAGGAACACGCGCACCCTTTCATTCTACCATCTCTCGAGTCGGCGATGAACCATCGAAATCGAAGCAGCAACAAAGGGAAAACAGCCGGGGATATCGGCACGAAGCGTGGTCCAGCGATTCTTGCCAGCAGAAGTTTCTCGAATCAGCCGAAGACACCGTGAAGAGCGTCGAAATCGATGAGAACGCGGCGCGGAGTATCGCTGTGTTCGCTAGCCCCGCCACGAACTGATTTAAATTTAGCGTGGAACCAGCCTAAATACGCGCGTCGACGTCGCCCGCCTCGAGGAACGCCTCGACACGCTCGCGATCCTCTTCGCGAGCGCGCATCGTCGTGGCCAATCGTCGCGAAAGATCGTCGCGAACATTCTTCCTTCCTCCTTTCTCCCTTTCCTCGTCTCGTTCACGTTCCGTTCGATGCTCGACGTTCGCGCCTCGTCCTCGACCGTGTCGGGGAAGGGAACGCCGAATCGGGGAAGGGAAATTGGATTAAAAAATTTCCACGCCGGCGGCGCACCAATTACGAAACTATTATCGCGGTGCCGAGTGCTTTTAGTTGTTCAACGTAAAATTACCGTGTCATTGAATTATAAATTGCGCCGGCCCAGGCTAGAGGAGAAGAGAACGAAAAGAAACCATTTCCTTCGGATTAATTGGATGGCGGATGGTGGCACGTGGCCGTCTTACGTGCGGAGGCGTATTTATTTTCGTCCAATTTCACGTTCCACGCTTTGGTTCAGTCGAGCCCTCGGCTTCGAATAGTATGGCGAGTAGTTTGAATCGTTGTTTCGATCAATCTTGAAAAATATGTTATTGACGGGTTGTCACGTTTGGGGCTCGATGGGGAATTCGTTAGTTCGATCTTGTTGTTTGAATATTTTAAATTAAATCGCACGATTGCGCGAATCGGTGCGCTCCTCGGTGTCTAAATACGTTGGAACGTGTCCAAATAGTTCATTGAAACTGCATTAACAAAGTCTCATAACGTTCATTGAAACTATTATTAGGATAGAAGTGTAGTGAATGAACTGAGCAAATTTTAGACAGTAATGGAATAATAAAAAATGCGTGAACGATGAATGGGATGTGTATTTTGATCGTGTAATTAATTTAACTTGCTAAAATGTTATACCGCGGGAGGAATATGTATGGCAATATTTTATCTTTGATGGTCGGATGAGTAACGTACCATCGCCGTTTATTGGACGTGTAAAGCGTACGAAATTGAAAGTGGAAGGGACTTGTAAAATGAAGCGCAAATGTGTTACGACGAGGCCTGAGAGGGTGGAAACGAAAATATGAAAAACTGCGATCGTATCCGAACCACACTGAAAAATGGTATAAAAACGCAATTGTGAAATAAATACGAAGAATGGCGGGAATATCAAAACGACCTAGCCACCTTATACGATTCCCAAGTATAGCATAAGCTGAGAAAAAAATTCTACATTATCTCTTGTCACATTTATGATAAACCAAATTCCCACCCTCACGTCTCAATCATCTTACATACACGATTCCCAAGTATAGCATAAGCTGAGAAAAAAATTCTACATTATCTCTTGTCATATTTATGATAAACCGAATTCCCACCCTCACGTCTCAATCACCTAACACGATTTCCAAGTATAGCATAAGCTGAGAAAAAAATTCTAGATTATCACCTCTTGTCACATTTATAATAAACCGAATTCTCACCCTCACGTCTCAATCACCTTACACGATTCCCAAGTATAGCATAAGCTGAGAAAAAAATTCTACATTATCACCTCTTGTCATATTTATGATAAACCGAATTTCCACCCTCACGTCTCAATCACCTTACATGATTCCCAAGTATAGCATAAGCTGAGAAAAAAATTCTACATTATCACCCTCTTATCACATTGTGCAATAAACCACCCTCAGATCTCAATCACGAACGTAAATAAAATTCACAAGTTTAGAATCAAAACTCGATGAAAATCGATTTCACTCCAATATCGCAGACCGATATCGCAGTATTTTTTATTCTACTGAAATTCTAAATAAAAAATTTCCTCCCATCAAAACGATTCAAAACAGATTCACTAAAGTATGGAAATTCAAAGCTGTATGTAAGGAACGTATGGTTGAATGGAACGGAGGAGAAACTCGGCAATTCTCGAAACGCGAGGAGAGTTCATCAATCCCAAAGTGGTTCGCGGTGCGGAAGCGGCATCTGGGAGTAATTAACCCTCGATTACGGGGAATTCCCGATGATAAGTTCCCTGTACATTCGGCTCCTCCTTGCGCTATTATTTATTTACGCCGACGGTTAATTGCATCTTCATTGTTTGAGGCCAGCGGACACTCCCGCTAATTGGTTAATCGCAAAAACAAACGTGTCCATACGCGGATGCCCGCGCAACCGTTTATACCGGTGCAGTCTCAAGTTAATTGCAGGCGTTGGCTATTCTATAATTACTCTCCACGGACCAAGTTGTGGTCCTCCATTAACCGTGGCGCGCGTGTCAAAGTTAACGTAACTTTGACCTTTTAATAGGGAGCCGGCTAAGCGAGGATATAATTTAATGAGGATTACGCTTTTTAAAAGAAAAAAATCGTCAGAGGAAATTCAACTTCTTCGCGTGGCCCGTGGAGAAGAGCGGAATTGCGGGCGAGGTCTCGTCTCTCTAAGTGAAAACTTTCGTAAGGGTCGGGGTAAAGGAGAGGAAACATTCTCAAAGGCGCATATACATCCCCCCCAGCGACAATGTAAATTATTTTTCCGACTATGCGCGCGTCATGGGGTTGGTTTGACGTGTTGGCAACCGACATCGCGTTACTCGCTTAATTCTCTTTGTTTATCACTCTCCAGAGACAAAGATGAAATGAAATTTCGCGAATATTTTACGATATTTATTTCACGGATTTTACGTTTAGATTTTACGTGTTCTGGTTTTCTTTCTGGAAAACGCTGTGCGCTTATAACATAACGGTTTGTTTGAAGATAAACTTTGGTAAGATCGATCTTTTTTTGTACTTTTTTCTTGTTACTTTTTGATAAAACTTAGGTATAAATTATCGTATTAACCTATCGAACTAGACTATCAAGAAAATATTAATAAAAGTACGTATAGCGCAATCGTAGATTCAAAATATTGCGTAGAAGCGTTTAATATTTATAAGTTCATTACAAGTATACAGTTTCTCTAGCCCCACTAGCTTAATCTCGCTTTATCGAAACTTATCGAATTTACGTATAATCCCCGCGTTGTCGCGCCAGTATAGTTCAATTTGCAACAACGACGCTCTTTTTCCAACACCTTGCAAGTTTCTCCCCTGAACGTAATTTTCTCGGTTGGGGTAGTTACCAGCGCTAACTTTTCGATTGTTTCATCGTGATTCACATTGGTTACCGAGGGCCGAAGGGGCGGCCCCAGGAATTGTAAAACTTGGATGGAAATTTTGAGCACACCGCCACCCCACGAAAATTAAAGCTCAATCGCACTATATCACAGGTCGGCTCAGAATTCTTGCGCCAAAGTTTTTTGCGGCAAGATTGCGCCAAGTTTTTCTCCGTGTAATTTCGTGCGTCGAGAGACAAAGAGGGGAAAGGGAAGGGAGAAAGGGTGGAGGTGGAAATGTTCGATCAAATAAGATGGAGCGAAATTGATTAATAACCAGTGATCAGAAGAATGGGATGAAATCGAATTTTCGCGCGAATATTAGATTCGATTACCAATTAATCGAACTTGATAAAAGCAACAATAGAGAATTTCGTATTTTGTTTCATGATTATGAATATATCTTATTGAGATAGATATAATTTTAATTCAATGAAGATGTTATTAATTTTGGATTGTGGAAATTGTCACGATGAATGCTGAAGAAAATTATTAAGAACGAATGGAATTTATCATCGTATTGTACACCGTATACTACGTCTTTCTTTTCATAATACCGTTTCGATATTTCTCACACATTGTTCGCGTCAAGATAATCCGTTGTTTCGAAATATACCTGGTTGGTGTCGCAGTGCTCGTTTGTCTGAAACTTTATGCGCTCTATCCTTTATCCGCCGTTGAATTTGGCGAGAAGTGGAAAACAGTTGAACTCCCAACGACAGTAAGTTGAATTTATCATAATGCATATTTAGTATTTACAACGCAAACTGCATACACCGGTTCTTCGATCCGATACGAGACGATTGAATCTTATCTTTTCCTCGAAGTTCGAGGATTCGCGTCGCTTCAAATCGAATCGTAAAATCGAGCTAACTGATTTCGCTCTAAATGAAATGAATATAATTTTAATAACGATTTCACAATTTTCCGATGTTTAGGATTAGAAGGATTGTACCTTATCTGTTCCTCGAACTTTAGGGATTCGCTTCAAATCGAATCGCAAAATCGAGCTAACTGATTTCGCTCTAAATGAAATGAATATAATTTTAATAACGATTTCACAATTTTCCGATGTTTAGGATTAGAAGGATTGTACCTTATCTGTTCCTCGAACTTTAGGGATTCGCTTCAAATCGAATCGCAAAATCGAGCTAACTGATTTCGCTCTAAATGAAATGAATATAATTTTAATAACGATTTCACAATTTTCCGATGTTTAGGATTAGAAGGATTGTACCTTATCTGTTCCTCGAACTTTAGGGATTCGCTTCAAATCGAATCGCAAAATCGAGCTAACTGATTTCGCTCTAAATGAAATGAATATAATTTTAATAACGATTTCACAATTTTCCGATGTTTAGGATTAGAAGGATTGTACCTTATCTGTTCCTCGAACTTTAGGGATTCGCTTCAAATCGAATCGTAAAATCGAGCTAACTGATTTCGCTCTAAATGAAATGAATATAATTTTAATAACGATTTCACAATTTTTCGATGTTTAGGATTAGAAGGATTGTACCTTATCTGTTCCTCGAACTTTAGAGATTCGCGTCGCTTCAAATCGAATCGAACTAGCTTATTTCGCTATAAATGAAATAAAAATGATTTTAACAACGATTTCACGATTTGTCGATGTTAGGATTAGAAAGAGGACGAGTGATGGAAATGGAAAATGAGAGAGAATATCAAGGAAAAAATATAACGAATTCATCCGATTTGATCATCGTGTGAATAACACGGGAGAGGGTATTCCAATGATAACCAGCGTTTCAAAAGCGCGTGGAGTTACAGAAACTCGGTTACTCGACCGTGTTTGTAAAAGCATTAATTCATCGGCGGATCGTACGAATAAATCTGAATGCAATTGAATCGGAACAC